GACTACTCATCCTCATCCTCATCCTCATCCTTATCTTCCGCTCCCTCCTCCTCGTCCTGTACCCTCCTACCCCTCCCCCCCCCCCCCCGTTTCTCATCCCTGCTCTTCCTCTTCCTCTATTTCCTCTTTGCTCTCCTCCTCCTCATCTTCCTCCTCTGTCCTCCTCCCCATCCCCCCTCTTTGCACGCTCTGACATGATTCCACCTCCTTGACGCACCTTCCTTGACTAGTTCTTACCCACTCTCCCTTCCTCCCTCTCCCCTCTCCCCTCCATTCTTATCCTTCCATGTCCTCTCTCCACCTTTCCATTCCATTCCCCTTTGCTCTGCTCCTCTGCATTTCTGCTCCTGTGCCCTACCTGCTCTTGCTCCTGGTTTCAAAACCAACTGAATGCTCCTTGACGAGAACTGTTCATCTCACTTTTCACGAGCAGCCCTCTGCATGTTCTTCCTGTTCCACCATCACGTCGCCATTGGTCCATGTGCGAGAGCCGCACAAATGCCGAGGCTCCTTCGCTCAGTCAGATCTCCGACTTGCTGGCAGACGGCACGGTTCAAGTCTGGAAGAGATCACTAGCTCCCAAGGAGGCGCTAGCAGGTACCCTGAGAGATGACCGTGCTGCTGGCTGACCGGACGTGCAAGGAGGAGCGAGGGGGCAGGGCACTCGGTCAAGACGTTCGAGCAGCATGTGGAGCCGGAGGAGATCTTTGTGGTCGGCACGTCGCACATCTCCAGGAAGTCTGCCGAAGATGTCGACCGTGTGATCAGGGCAGTTCGGCCTGACAACGTGGTTGTGGAGCTGTGCAGGAGCCGTGCGGGGATCATGTACGCTGACGGTAGGAGCGGCGACTCAAGGTCGATGGTGCTGACGATGCTGATAGGAGGAGACGTGGAGAAGAGCAACGCGCTGAGTATCTGGGGGAACGACCCGATCAAGGTGAAGAATGTTGAGAGGCGAGGACGTGAACTTCTTCCGTGATTGCTATGAGTTGTCATCATCATCTGTGTATGTTGCTGATTGAAATGAATCTCTACATGTCGCTGACCGAAACTTGTTTGTTCCTGCCGTCACCATATATTTGCAAGGCGCTTTCTCGATCGATCTCTCTCGGTGGGCCTGTGGCTCTGCTGCTGCGAGTTCTGCTTGCACGAAATCCAGGTGAAGAGGAGGAGGAGGAGGAGGAGGAGCAGGAGCAGTACTTGATGTATTAGGAGGACAGGGGGGAGCGAGGGAGAAGAGAACGAGGAGGGAGGAAGATAGAAGAAACTGGAGGGGAAGGAGGGGGAGAGGATGATGAAGAAACACGACTGACGATGCCTCGTGTCAAGTTCTTCAACAGACACTCAAGGAGACAGGGATAGACTTTCGAGCGGCGAGGAAGGCTGCGGAGGACGTCGGAGCGACGATCGTCCTAGGTCCCCGACAGCCGGGGATGGAACTCCTGCTGACAGTGAGGAACAGGTGATCGACCGATCGAGATCACCATTGAGCGAGCGTTCAGATCGCTCTCGAAGCAAGAGCTATTCCAGGTTGCTCCCTCCATCCCGCTCCCCTCCTCGCCCTCGCGCTCACCTCCCATAAGCTGGTCAGCCTGCTGGGCAGCGGTGTGGGTAAACTCGACCCCGAGAGCTCAGAGGCTCTGTCGGACTCAGCGCTCAAGGCGCGTCCTCCTTTCTTACTTGTTGGTCTCCTCTGATACTTCCGTAGGACAAGGACATCCTTGAGGGGTTGGAGAAGTCGCTGGCAGAGTCTTATCCCTCCCTGCTGGAACCGCTGATAGTGGAGAGGTGGAGGAGGAGGAGGAGAGAGGAGAAGCGAGGAGAGGGGAGAGAGGAGGCAGGAGGCAGGAGTAGTCAGAACTAGAGAGGAGAAGAGAGGAGAGGGGAGAGAGAAGGAGACAAGAGGAAGAGAGGGAGGGAGAAGGAGGAGGCGAGAGGAGGAGGCAGAAGGAGAAGAGGGAGGGGGAGGAGGATGGCTCAACTGATCAGCGTCTTCAGAGACATCTTCCTCAGTCTGACAGCGAAATCCTCCATGGCTGTCAACGGGTGTAAGCGGGTCGTCGCTGTGGTTGGGAAGGTGCGTGAGATCTGAGTGACGTCAGATGCTGAGGCTGCTCCAGGGGCATGCGAAGGGAGTAATGAGATGCCTGTCTGAGAACCACAACGGAAAGTTCAAGGTGCGAGAAGAGGAGGAGGGGAGGGACGAGGAGGAGGAGGACGAGAGGAGGAGGAGGAGGAGGGAGAGCCTGAGGTGGAGGTCAGGCATGGTCAATCAGGGTCAGGATCAGGAGGAGGAGGATGCTGGTGTTGGTCAAACCTTTTGAGAAGCAGGATAACTAAAGCAGAGGGGATGGGAGAAGAGGCATAGGAAGCACTGGTGGTGGTAGTGGTGGTAGTGGTGGTAGTGGTGGTGCCGCCGATGATGATGATGATGATGATGATGATGATGATGATGATGATGATGATGATGATGAGGAGGAGGAGGAGGAGGAGGAGGAGGAGGAGGAGAATGATATCTATGTAGACCCTGACATGGACTCCGACTCGAGCTGCTCTCAAAGACAAGGTATTGTTGCTCTCGTTGCAAATTTAGCCCTCACGTGTTGAAACTCTCAAGGTGTTTGGAGTAGTTCCAAGGGTGATTGTGAATCGTCTCGTCGTAGACACGATTGTCTTTGTCCTTCTCTTTTACACCCTCAAGCTCGTTTTCCCCTCTATCAACATGTTTTGATTACTTTCACTTCGACTTTAGCATCACATTCTGATTGAAGATGCGAAAATGCTTCTCCCTCTGCCGCTCCTCCATCCTGTGAGCAAGGAGGTTCGGGGTAGATTGCCTGCAGTGCAGCGGTGAGAACCAACGCCCTCCTCCTCCTTCCCTCACCCTTGCGACTGCCAGCTCTTCTTCACGAGGTGCTCCTGCAGGATCTGGCTCTGAATGTCGCTGCTGGCGAGATTGTGCCCCACGTACGCCTTGCGTCTCCTGCCAGCATGTTGAGCATGCCTTGCCCAGCTGCTCTCCTTGCTCCTCACCTCGACCGCACGTACTGCCGCGAGATGTCGTCGGTCTCCTCCATCGCCAGGTACACGGAGAGATTCTTTATGGACTGCTGCCTGTGAAAGGCGTCGGGGGAAGATCAGGACAGGAGGGCAGGCAAAGTGCAGAGATGAAGGAGAAGGGAAATTGGAGAGAGGGAGGAGGGAGGAGGGAGAGAGGGAGAGAGGGAGAGAGGGAGAGAGGGAGAGAGGGAGAGAGGGAGAGAGGGAGAGAGGGAGAGAGGGAGAGAGAGGGAGAGAGGGAGAGGAGGGAAAGGGAGGGAGGGAGGAGGGAGGAGGGAGGAGGGAGGAGGGAGGAGGGAGGAGGGAGGAGGTAGTTATGAGACAATCGTGCTGGTACCTCATCTCGTTGATCTTATCAAGAGCTCGTCCTAGTGTGCTCAACTGCACGTTACTTGCCAGCTCCTCCGCCTGCTCAAGACAAGTCTTCGCCTGTTCCAGCGTGTCTGCTGCACTGTCTCTGTTTCCCTTGGTCCAGTCTTGCAGCGCCACCTTCGCCATGTTCTCAACATTCTTGTATGAGTTCTCGGACCGGATGAAACGCTCCCAGTCGTCCAAACACAAGCGAGCAAGCCGCCGAAAGTTTGTATGCGCATGTTTCTCGTGCATGGAGAAGAGGTCAAGGTCCTGAACTCTCTTGCCAATCTTCTCCAGCTCTGCCTGACTCTCTTCCTGATCCAGCAGCTCGTCTATCTCCTGCCATCGAAGCAGCGAGAGAGAGGTATCCTCTTCGCGCTCTTTCCTCTTTTCCTCCCTCTCTGCAACCCGGCGTCTCTGGCTTTGAATGAACCTGACGATCTTTGTTGCTGCCTCTTCTCTCTCTTGCTCATTCGTCAGTCTCGATGGCTCTGAGTCTGACTTGTGCGCTGATGAGTTTGACGATATCCTCGAAATTCGCTCCACCCCCTCGCTCGTGTCAGTCTGCTCACTTCGTCTCCTGTTCATGCTTTCTTTCAGCCGCAGTTGAGATCTAGTCCTCCCGATCGCATGCACGTGTCCGACCATGGTCGTCTTGCTCTTCAAATCATCCTCCATGGGCCTCGCATTCTCGCCTTTACTCCTCTCCTTTCGATTGAGGCGTATCTGTCGCCTCTCCTGCTTTCTCTCTCCTCCAACCGTCTGATTGAACGTCGGGTTGTACGTTAGCGACCATCTCTCTGTACATCTAATCCGCTTTAACATGCTCTTCCTTGAGCATTCAGCTCGCAGCTCAAAACTTCGCGTGCATCGATTCTGCTGATCCTGCTGCTTGCCTGACAGTTTCAAACAGCTGAATGTATCCGGAGAGCATCTGAGTTTCCACTCTCCCGATCGACCATGACAGTCATCCTCCAGCAGAGATCTTTCAGACAGGAAGGAGTTTCTCCTCTGCCCGCTGCTCTCTCCCCTCATCATCTCCTCCCATCGATGGTCCCTCCTCCGCTCTCTCAAACTTTCCTTCTCGCTCGCACTCAGGAGGTCTCGATCACGAGACAGCAGGAGGACCGCATCTCCGTTCCACTGCAGAGGCTCGCTCTCCTCCTGGCGAGGAGCTGAAGCGAAGGTTCGCAGCCACCATTGCCGCAGTAGCCGCCGCTTCTTGTCCTCTCCCGCCATGCTCCCTGCGCTATCCGTTGCTGCCAGCAAACCGGAGCGAAAGGGCAGCGATGTCGAAATACAAGCAGGACCGCTGCCGCGTATGCCGGCCCGGGCCGCGCCTGAGTGACAATGACGAGTACGCCGCCGCTCAGCCGTTCACTGGGGCGCCGCCGCCGGCCCGGCCCGGCGCCGCCGGGTCCCCTAACACTAACTCAGGTTCAACAAGTGTCAGCCGTCGCCCCGGGCCGCCGGGCGGCCCCGGCCCCCCCGGGCCCCCGGCCGGGCCGCTGGGCCACGGGCCGCGGTCAGGCCCTCCGAGCCTGCCAGAGTTCCGAGGAGCCGGGAAGCCTTCCGAACTTCGGCGAAGTTACCCGCTCGGCGGACTCCGGCGGACTCCGTACTCGGCGACTCGGGCCGCCCGGCGGCCCGGCGGCCACTGCACGGCGCCACTGACCGTGAGTGGCGGCTGAGTGTGCCAGCCAGTGTGGCACACCGTCACAGGCCTGCCCCTGCTGAGCCCGGGGCTCACTGAGTACGGTACCGTACGGTCAGCGCGGCCTTCAGTGCAGTGCCCAATACCGCACTGTGAGTAGGGCCGCCGGGCTCACTGCCGTGAGGCGGCCGCCCGGCCCGGGGCCCCGGCGTCGGAGGGGGCCGGGGGGCGGCCGCCCGGCCCGGCTTCAAGTTCTCAGTGGCACCCGGTCACGCCGCGGCCCCCGGCCCCGCTGGTCGGAAGTTCAAAATCAGTACCCGGCGTACGGTACTACGACTGAGGCAGGTCCGGTCGGACCGGACCGTCCGCCGCGCCGCCGTGCCGCCGGGGCCGCACGGTGCCCGGCAGTGCAGTGCCGCGTGTGCCGCCGTGACCCGGGGGCCCGGTGACCCGGTACGCCGTTGGGTGACTTCAGCCTCGGAGTCGACCGTGCGAGTCGGCCGGGCCGGTCATGGCTTGTGTCCGATTTACTCCGAAAGTTAAGTTAAAAATCAGTACGAGGACAATCAGGAGAGTCGAGGAGGCTTGACCCTGTCGCACAGGCCAAACGGCGAGAAGAGAAAAGACAGCGAGAACCAAACCTAATCCTGCCAACTGCTGTCACCGAGTCCCCCAAACTTAACTGATACCTTCATTTAACGGCGCGCAGGACAAGGCCCCCTTGTGTCATGCGGCGTACGGTCATCATGAGCTGTAAAAGTTAACTGAAGCCGCCACGTGCCGCCACGCAGTGCCAGCCTGAAGTTAACTTGGACCTGCCCGACTCCCGAGGGCAGACAAGATATCTGTAAGCCTCCGACTTTCCGACTGAAACCAATTATAATCATGGGTCACTGACCGTGGACTAGAAGTGTACCGTAATAAGTCATGATAACTGAGCGGCGTCTCGTGATCATCTCTGTAGGCAGTAGGCTGACCAACACGTCTGACTGTCAGCAGTGCCGCCATGGCTCGTAGCGCCTCCTCGGTTTACACCTGACCATCAGTGCCGACCTTCCAGATGCTTCTGCGACTGAGATAATGATTTGAGATTGAAGGTGGTGCGATCACTGCATCGCTTGCGAACCGAAAAGAGTTCTTTTCGGAGACGGAGACCGGAGATCGGAAGAGTTACGGCTCATGATGAAGCTTGTATGCTGCTTGTATGGGGCATGGCCACCCCATCGCAAGCGACCCTCTTCCAAAGCCACCATTTCACCTCCTCTTCTCGTCGCCATCCTCCTCCTTTCTCCTCGGGCCCTTCCATTCCACTCTCCTCACTCTCCTCAGATCATTTGACCATCTTAGATTATTCCCAACCTGACTAGTTCTCACATCTATGGTTGGAATCAAGAACATGCCGAAGGCTCAAGATCCCTCTGGCCTCCAAGCCTTCCTCTCCTTCTATGGCTCCTGCCCCTCCGTCTCCCCCGTCTCCAGCCCTTCCAACCTCATCTCCGACTTCACTGCTCTGCAGCAAGCTTTCCCGGACACATCGTTCGTGGAAGACTGGGAGGAGCTGGAGGCAGCTGCGTTTGCAGACAAATACTTCCCATGGGACACGATTGCGCGCTGTACTCAACACTCAAATATGATCGATCTGAGAAAGAAAGAAACTGAATTCCGCATCACACAATAATGCACAGTCTGGTTTTGGCAATTCAACACTCTGCATTCTATGTGATGTACCACCGTTCTGCGACTTGTGACAGCACATGCATGGTGTTGCTCAAGATGTAAATTTGTGAATACTTTCCAACGGGAACTGAACTTTTCTGAGGTTATTAATTTTGAACAACATATTCTTTTAGCAAAAATAATTTATTGAAACGAGAAATTGCCTGTTTGCTTTTGTTTTAGTAGTTTGCTTTCCAAACATAATCTCAACTACAAACTTCCACGTTCCTGATGATGCAATGTTTGAAAACACTGTGAAACTGCCCTTTCGTTGTCGAAGTTGTGCACAAGCTCGCTCAAGGCTTCTCATGCTTGGACAGTACTTGCCCCCGTCAGGTTGGATCGGCCAGTCCAGTCAAACCTGACGCATTCATGATAATCATTCATGGGCGCTCGCTCCATTAAAATCGCCGTAAATTCCAAACATGAGTAACGAGTAAAGAACGGGGCTATAGCTAGTGGTGGTTTAGTTCAGTCTCAGATGACTAATCTCTCTAACATCGATCGATTCGCGATATCGTTTTAAAAAGAAGATGGGGTCTATTGAAGCGACGCGACCGAAAGGTCCACCCTACCCCCCTTAAAACTCTCTGATTTGCCCTGGTAACCACCCCATACCAGTAATGGTTTTATTCCCCAAGTGAGGTAGCACATTCGATGAGTATTGACGGTCAAATTGACAATGATCCTCATAAATTTGAAAGTTGACAGAAGCCATTTTAAGATGTTTGGCCTTGTCGAAATCTCAGCGACCCGTCGCATCGGTTTGAACGAGACGTTGTGATCTCAAGATTCCGATTTTTCGTCAGCAGAACGTCATCCAACTCCCAGTTTATATCGCCCCTCTGCCTCCCTCGATTCAACACGTCTCTCCCCATCCTTCTCGTCCCCCTCGCCCTCGGTCCACGTTCCCTTCAGCTTCATCTTCCCTTTCCTGCTTCTTGTCTCTTAGCTTTCCCTGCATCATCGAAACCTCGCGCGGTCACCTTACCTCGACACCCTGTAGTCCTCGGTACCAGAGTGTACCTCCGCTCGTACCGCTCGAGACTCTGAATCTTATCTTCGAATGTGCATCGGGATAGGGATGATGCCAAAGGCTCAAGATCCCTCTTGCCTCCAAGCCTTCCTCTCCTTCTATGGCTCCTGCCCCTCCGTCTCCCCCGTCTCCAGCCCTTCCAACCTCATCTCCGACTTCACTGCTCTGCAGCAAGCTCTCCCGGAGACATCGTTCGTGGAAGACTGGGAGAAGCTGGAGGCAGCTGCGTTTGCAGACAAATATCTCATGATGCACTAGCAGTCTGCACACAAACAGCAAATAAGATGGAACGATTTTCGCAACACAGTCAAATCACACACGTACAGCAAAACGGATGGAGCAATTTTCGAAACATAGACCAATCAACATGATGCCATGACAATTGGTCTGGTCATGATACAGACAGGGAACACGCATGGAACAAGAAAGGGCCGCGAGATGTGTGCTAATTCCAATCATAGATGACACTCTATTCCACAAAGAACCTCCGTGTACATTTGTACCTGTAATATATGTAACATAAACATCATTGCAATAAAGTACTGGCTTAGCTACTACGGTCTGGGAGTAAACCCTGTACAGCACCTGTCACTGTGATTCAGACTGAGTAAGGACAATGAAGACTGGAGAGCGTAAGAAGACTCGGGACACAAAGGAACACAAATCAGTCTTGAATACAGAATGTAGAAACACAATGTGACAGGAAGCCCTGCCGAAGGACAACGTGATCGGAACGGTCACATTGAACATAGAGACTCAGTTCAGTATGGTCGGCACTACAGCACGGTATTGAGATGTATGAAAGTTGAGAGTCCAAGCAGTGATTATCCGACTCGATGATGAACCGGATCGACGCCGTCCGACGTTCATCCGGGGCCGACTCAAACCCACTTGGAATCGGAAAGTTGGAAGGCTTGCATCGGACCGTGCCGCCGCTGGGCCGGGCAGTCACAGTGTCGGATTGTCCGGCGAGTCCGATCGCCGCCGACGGACTCTCAGTCGGACGCCGCCGTCGCCGGGTCACGCCGGCGCCGGGGGAGCCTTACGGCGACGGTCAGTACCGTACCGTACCGTGACGGTCCGCGCCGGCCCGCACGCGGCAAGGGCCGCGCGCGGCCGCTCCGACCCGGCGGCCGTCCGCCGTCCGCCGAAGTCACAGAGTCACACGTTCAGACTCGGCGGTCGGCGTTACCGTCTCCGAACCGTAGCAGACTCTCCGAGTCACGTTGGCACCGTGGTGGCACCGGCCGCAGCGAGTAGCAGCCACGGTGACAGCTTCCGGAGCCGCCCTGACCCTCAGCGGCGGCGGCGGGCCCGGCCTGCCGCTGCCGTGGCGGGCGGCCGCCCGGCGGCCCGGCTGAGGGCGGCGGCCCGCTGGCGCATAGTGGGGACGAGGGGCTCTGCTGTTTCAGTTGGCGCGGGATGCCGGCAGACGGGCGATACGCGTTCCTGGTGGAATGGCTGGACCCGCAGGTAAGGGAGGGATGTGAGGAGGAGGGAGAGGAGGAGGGAGAGGAGGAGGGAGAAGAAAAGAGAGGAGGGTGAGGGTGGAGAAGGGAGAGGATGGAGGAGAGGACGAAGGGGGGGAAAGAAGAGGATGAGGGAAGAGAGGATGGAGGCGAGTGAGAGCGCGATGAACGAGGAGAAGAAGGGGGCAAGGGATGGAAGAAGATGTCTCTGTTCAAGAGGGGAGATCGACTGCTTACCTGCCCTGATCGCTGTGGCTGGATGTTTACGGTCAACTACTTTTCTTTAGGCGCAGCTTTTACGGCAATACATGTTGTTCTATTACACTGTGGACCGCACGATCGAGATGGTGAGTCTGAACCCCTGGAAGCTGTCCCGTCCTCGTTGACTGACGTGTTCTTGTCACCAGGATGACGTGAAGAATCGGAGGAAGTTTTTAAGGCGATGTGAATTCCCGACCATCACCTTTGAGGACCTCTATGTTGGCGGGACTGTCAGCGTCTACTCGCGGGAGTTGAACATAGTCGACTATGGCGACGAGTTCACGAAGAGCGCCATAGAGAAGAAGAGCGAGAGGACGCTGGGGCTCATCAAGCCTGACGCCTTCCTCAAGGTTGGCAAGATCGTCGACGCTATCTACAAGGACGGCTTTCGTGTCGCGCAGCTCCGCACGCTTCAGCTGACGAGGCGGGATGCCATGGAGTTCTACGCGGAGCACGAGGGGAAGCCCTTCTACCCGGCGCTGACTGAGTTTATGTCCTCCGGCCCCATCGTCGCGATGGAGCTGGTGGCGGATGGGGCCATCCAGAAGTGGCGGAAGCTCATCGGACCCACCAACACCTTCACGGCTCAGAAGGAAGCCCCGAGTTCTCTCCGAGCTCTCTTCGGGACTGACGGGACGCGCAATGCCTGCCATGGATCAGACTCGACGGCGTCTGCTGATCGAGAGCTGGGGTTTTTCTTCGGCTCTCCCTCCCGATTCCCTTCCACTGCTCGCTTCAACAACTGCACTCTGGCTGTGATCAAGCCTCATGCCGTCAAGAACGGGCACGCAGGAGCCATTCTGGATGGGATCATAGAGGACGGGTTGGCGACGATGACCGTTGCTCCTCATCCTGACGATGCGGCAGGTTTGAAATCTCTGCGCTGCAGCTCTTCAATATGACGCGAACTAATGCGTCCGAGTTCCTGGAGGTGAAATTGATTCCTCCTCCTCCTCCTCCTCCTCCTTTTCCTCCTCCTCCTCCTGCTCCTCCTCCTGCTCCTCCTCCTGCTCCTCCTGCTCCTCCTGCTCCTCCTGCTCCTGCTCCTGCTCCTGCTCCTGCTCAATCCTCCT